AGGGGCGCGTGGGCCGGGGGCGGGGGCGAGGGAGGGCAGAGAACTGACAGGGGTGAGGGAGAAGTGGGAGGGCCTCCCTTGGGAGGGGCTCGGGTCCTGGATGGAGGTGGGGGAAGCAATGCCGAGGAAGAGCGCGATTGGGGGAGGAGGTTAGCATCCTCACCTGCTCCCAGCGGCATTGTCTGCTTTTGAGGAGTGAGTGTGGAGCCAGGGTGGGTGAAGTGGGCCCGGAGGTGGGCAGCTCAGTGTCCAGAGGAACACTCAAGTTAGAGCTGCACGTTGAGGAGATAGTTAGCTGAGTAATAAAGTAAATGTAGAGATGTCTGGTGAGTCAGATCCCACATATTCCAGAAAATTTGAGTCTGATCTGGTTTTTAGACCCTATATTCTATGAAACCACTACCAGGCCTGAAGAAGGTCCAGTTACCGTATTTCAAAGAGGCAGAAAGAAGGCTGTGTGATTGTCCTCCACCCTACCTCCCCCACCCCCATCCTTGTTCATTCCAAAAATTCAGGCTTCCATCACTTTTCGTTTCTTGGTGGAGCTGTCAAGGAAAGGTATGACATCTCTGGGCCCTCTCCATTCTGTAGAGACCAGGCATGCTGCCAGGCAGCCGGATGACACCTCAGGGACCTTCCATGGGACCTCCTGGCTATGGGGGGAACCCTTCAGTCCGACCTGGCCTGGCCCAGTCAGGGATGGACCAGTCCCGCAAGAGACCTGCGCCTCAACAGATCCAGCAGGTCCAGCAGCAGGCGGTCCAAAATCGAAATCACAAGTAAGATGACACCTGGGGTGAAGGAAAGAAGCTACTGGGAGACCTGTGAGGATTCAAGTGGTGGGAGTACTGAACCAGGAAGTGGTGGTGCTATGTCACCAAATGGTGCTGCAGAGACTCACCCTTGTGAAGGCTTCCTGGTGGAGGTGGAGAGGGAGTTGATGGTGATGAGAAAGCCGTTTTGCAGGCCTTAGCTGTGCCATCAACAAAGGTGCTGACAGCTTAGCTCATGTTCTGACAGTTCCATCCCACCCTGATAACAGTATTTATTCCGAACAGTGCAAAGAAAAAGAAGATGGCTGACAAAATCCTACCTCAAAGGGTGAGTGCAGGCTCTAGAGGTCTTCTTCTTGAAGATGTAGTGACTGAGAAAGTACAGGTGGTCAGCTCTAGGGCCCAATCGTATCTTTCTGTTCCTAAGATTCGGGAATTGGTACCAGAATCACAGGCCTATATGGATCTCCTGGCTTTTGAAAGGAAACTGGACCAGACTATTATGAGGAAACGGCTAGATATCCAGGAGGCTTTGAAACGTCCCATCAAGGTAACACAGGAAAGCACTGGGCAGTGGGTCAAGGGAGGGGACAGGAACCTTCTCCAGGCTTAGGATGAAAATTCAAAGGCACAGCATAGCCCTCCTTGGCATTTAAATTGCATCTTTCCCTTCCGCCTACAAACCAGGAATTACATTAGGAACATAAGAGTAGAGCAGCTGGCAGGGAAAGGGGCGGGGGAGCTTTTGATGTCTCTTGCACCAGAAATATACCCTGCCCATGTTTTTGCTATAACTACTTGCTACCTTGGGAACCTGCCACTTTGTATGGTTTTCTTCACCTGGTATCCCAGCATATTTATTTATGCTCAGGCTCAGGGCCTGTATTCTTCTAAGTGGAGTATTTATTCACCTATCATAAGCCAGCCTAGAAAACCTTTGTCTTTAACATCAAACTACTGAGGCTCCATCATCAATCCTGTTTCTGCCTTCCTCAGCAAAAACGGAAGCTGCGAATTTTCATTTCTAACACTTTCAATCCGGCTAAGTCAGATGCAGAGGATGGGGAAGGGACGGTGGCTTCCTGGGAGCTCCGGGTAGAAGGACGGCTCCTGGAGGATGTGAGTTGAAGGTCCACTGTGTTGGTGTTGTATT